TAGTTTAAATAGCTTTGGTCCACGTATGGTCCTCACCGTCAGGGTTAATCAGTATAAGAATAAAGGCACTTTTTCAAGCTGAATATATAACATAAGGAATGACACCATTGGAGCTTTAGCGCTAGCTGGAAGTCAGCTTGATCGGTAAACAAACGCGACTTGACCCTTATAGGCCAAGACTAGTCACGACTTAGTTAGTCGTCGTAGCGGTGGCATAAGGCCGAGCTCAGAGTATGAATTATGTTAATACCATTCGTCGACGACTTAGGCTGCCAAGAACCTACTTTTAGGACCCGCTACCTACCTTCGTTCGTAGTCTAATATAGTGTTGTCGAAAAATTATCTATTTCTTCTATTTAATTGCACTTCTCGTTTATGCTCGGTAGGTGAATGTACCCCTTCGGGTATCGAATGAGTAAAGCGGCCTATGAATAGTTTTTTGGTTCTACGTTGTTTTTGGAAAGTTGAGGTCGTAATGACACATTCCCGATCGGTAGACGCCGGGTGGATTGGTTACGGAGATACAATATAAAAAATGCCCCTTTAAAATATTATCGCCAAACTCGTTCGCTAGTATATGTATTGAAGGGACTTCGATACCGAGACAAAATTAGTATATGTATCTAGTGGCCTCTTGGCGATTCTGCGACATCCGCTATGGAATTGTGGGCCCTTATTTTGTTGCAGAAATAAACAGTACCATTGCTGTCACCAGGGCACACATAGACTCATCGACGTATTTGAAGCGTTTTTAGCGTCGAAATATTCGTTGCTATCGTTGTAACATTTCAGAAAGTCTAACAGACTCGGCAGGCTCAAAAATTGAGTCACTGAACGTGACCTTTGCAACTCAAGGCGATGTCATAGAATCAACGAAAGGCTCGCAGCTGAAAGTATGTTCAGTCAGCCGATGTTTTTCTCTATCGTTATTATGGCGATTATTGAACTATCATAAATAGCTTAAAATAGTTGATCCTGGAACAACAATTCCGGCTTTATCGTCAAAGTTGGCTTTCTTAAAGTGCACGGTTGGCCTTCCCTTCTGCAGGAAATTGGCAGATTGGCCTACTTTTCACACTAGACCTTCAGCAAAAACCTATATTGCCAAGGACTCCGATCTGAAACCCATTTTCTACAGGTAAGTTCAAAAAGTGTAGTGTAACTAGAATTTTTTTTTTTCTAAACAGACCAGAAACCAACAAAGCTTCGGACACCGTCGTTCCCGCCGATAATACTTTATTGTCTGTTATGATTACGCAGATCATAAACCTCGCCCGCAATAGGGGCACAAGTGCTCCTGTGGGCATTGTGGAAACCCTGCAGTATATATCGCGCTTAGGTCTATTGAGGACTAAGGTTCTCTAACGGTCGTCTTATTTTACTGTAATTGAATATTACATAACATACATCATATCTGGCTCACAAAGGTGTCCCTAACTGTGAAAATTTCCAAAAATAATGTCCATACTTTGTTTTAGGTTGAGGTATTATGATATCTAATCCTAATGTTAGCATTTCCAAGCTGATTTTGTTAGAGACAACAGACTGTTGTTAAGCTTAAAGAACGAATTTGGTTGCCTGCGCAGTTTATTGCTTACTTTTTTAAATTTCACCTCCATTGATCTCATGGTATGAGTAACACATGAGAGGTATTCATCGACTCTCATCGACGTTGGCTGCATAGTTTCTTGACGCCACACCATGCCATCGCCCCCTGGCCGACAGTATCGCTCATTTTCTGTTGCAGCTGCCGCCGCTGCTGTTATATCTGTTTGTCCTTTCAATCCCGGATGTCCGCTGCGCGCTCGGTAGTCGTAGCGGTTGTAGGGGGCATTTCTGTAGATACTACGCTTTATATCATGGGAAGGACCAGCAGCGGCGACAGCACCTTCCCCTTCATCTCCTCGATCCACAGCCGCCATAGTGGATTTGCCATTCTGCATCGCCCCGATTCTACGGGTCCCCCCCGTTCCCCTCGGGCATTTGCTCTCGCTACCGCTATTTCACTGGTTTCTCCCTTTTATCGACGGCCGAATCGTGACCTCGGGGCCCGATGTTCTACCAACAACAACAAGTCAACCGGGCTTTTGCTGGTTCATTCGTGGTAACGGCAGCAGCAGCCGTCGATGAATGCTACGGTAATAATAGTCACTACATAGTGTAATACGTACGGAGCCAATAACAACAGAGGTCGGTGAACAACTATACTGCAATTTACGAAGCACTCACTTCTGCGGCTCGCCTGGTTTACTCTGTGCAACAAAATATTATCTGTCACAATTGAAAACCTTGTTCCGCGCAGGGCACTTGTAAAGCAGGAGTGCATGACAACTAAGCTCGAATCAATGTTAGATAATGATTTGGACATTTACTCCTTTGCGGCAGCAGATGCTACATAAGAAACTCGTTCTAGTCTAATTTTTCTCCTGTGTGAGCTTTGTAAATTGTTTTGCCAGCGAGCAGAAGATATGGACTAAACTTTTTTAGTTGCTGCCTGCCAATATATCTGTCTCATAGGTGAGTCTCACCCTATCCAGCTGAATCTTCCCATGAAGTCGCACTCTGGGCGACCGCTGGGAGTTTGAGACTAATCGAGCTTTGCTCTATACTTATAATAATAGCGTCTGTGTAATAATATAAATCGTATGCGGCACCGCAAAAAAGTAAAACTTCGTATGTTCGTATAGAAGCAGCTTTCTGTCTGCTTTTAGTCTTAGCAGACTTAATAATCCAGTATTAGGCGTTCGGGAAGTAGTACCATTCAACTAAGATAACCATACGCTTGTCATTAACACGCACCGATGGGCGGCTAAAAGTACTGAGTGCTAGCCAGTAAGGTGTTTCGTCTCAAAGACATGCCTTGTGCTTGGAGCGAGTGTCATGCCGATAGATATCAGTAGGGCCAAATGGGTCAAACGGCACTAATGCACACTGGTCCCAAGTACGGGTGACCATTACCGCTGTCATGTGTCCATAGTATCTCTACTACTAATAACGTCGATGGTGTGACGTTGCTATGAGCTGGTAGCAGCGCCTGTAATAACCGAACGTTGTAAAAATTGGCGGCCCTCGTTTACTTTGCCGCCCATCTAAATCGCTACGGCTATTGTCTAGAATACCAAACGGCTAGTACATGCATGTACAGATGTATATATATATATATATATATATATATATATATAGATTAATGTATCCTGTACCTAAGGTAAGGAAAGGATAATGGAAGGTCACAACCTGCGACGACGTGTGAACCTCGTATCGCTCACACGTTTTGCGCGACGATGTTCCGCCAGTCATCCGCGCCAGTCCATCGGTGCTCGCAATAACAATCGCTCACGCGTTAACGAATTCTAACATATTTCTTCGTTGAAAATTTCCATAATGTGATACAGGGAAATATGAATGAACTATAAATTGTACTATACAGGGTTAGATAATGGATGAGCGCCGGCTCTCGTCTGCGGATCGAGAATACAGGATTGGGACTCGACATGTAGCAGTATAATCTATGTGAACTCATTAACGTGTTTGTATCACAGAAAAACTCGGAAAGTTCTGCATGGCAGAAATCGAGGCTCCGGATATGTGCCGGCATGTACGGATGGCTGTCTGTGTGTCTGTCTGAGGAACTTAACCGATCTGCTATCGGCAAAAGAACGATACCTGGGACATGGGTCGCGCTAAATCATACGTACACTATATTTACGTTTTGATAGAAGCAGCATGCAACGCTTATTGGCACCAGATCACAGTCGCATTGGCCACCAATTGGAATAAAGCTAGCAGCATATAATGAACAGTAATCTTTGGGTGTTTCCTCTAGTGTGATGCAGTGAGTTTGACCGATATAAAGCTGTTCTTCACGTTGAAAAGCTATCTCAAATGATTCGGTCCATCTATGAATAGTGTGATACTGCTGTTCGCCTCGATATGAACTAAATACGTAGAAAACCCCCAATAACCGTTGTTTCTCTTCACGACCAAGTGGACGTGGCCATTAGCCGATGAGCATCAAGCTGAGGTTCCATTAGGGAAAAGCCATTGTCTCACGGACTTCTCAGTGGCTAAAGGGCCGGACTAACAGCGTTACGATTTTAATGTATTTTTATGTAATTATTCTGTCCTGATTCATTTCATTGGTCCTTTCTAGCCAAATTGTTGTTGAATCACTCCAAGCAGATAATCTGGTTTTGGCCTATACCACATTTTTTTAGTTGATGAACTATTCACGAGATACCGTTATATATGTATATTCCTAAATAGGCATTTTTTTAAAAGATAAACATTTTTCCAAAATTTGGCGGTTACCAAGAATGTTCTTTCAACGCAAAAATCAACTTACTGATCATATTCGGTGATCAGCCTCTTTTCATCTATGTAGATATATATTTTTTATTGATTACATCTATAGTTATCAGCGAGGGCTGTCAATGATTTTTCTATCCTTCATTGATTTTAAACTCTATTTATTTCTATATTTTTTTATTTATTTTCACATCATTAATTATATAGACAATGAAGCAGACGCGTTCGTCTGCTCTGTTCGTCTCACTGTCCAAAATAACACCACTAGGTTGTATCAGCGGTCAAAAGCCTTCGTTGGGATGCAGTTGAGCCTACGCAGACCGTTTGGGCGCTGTCAGAGAACCAAATGCAGTCGATTGACAAACTTCAGGTACGGTAGTGCCCTTAGGACACGCGTCTGCGTTCGAGCGTATGTCCGGCTAAAAATATAACTGCCGACATCCTTAATTGATCGTAATTTTTTCAGCCTCGGTCGTATCTGCCCTCGGCCTGGCCGTTATCTTCATCGACTCTTCAAATGGATCACCGCTTAACAGGGCAATTTAGAAGTGATCTAACAACGGCAGCGCAGACGAAATGATAATCGGAGCACACAATTTTACCGCGGCTGACGGGCGGCAATGACTCTTTCGTTATTTGGTGGAAACGCCCGTTTGTTTTACCCAATTTCATTCGGGCTAAGCTAAAGTGAGCTGACATTTTGGGCTGAAAAACATAAAACAAGTTTGATCTGAACGTTTTACTTTGGTCTGTCGAACTAATCTGGCCGGCGGACGCCAGGTGCGAAGAGCGTTCGCGACAGAGGCACATTGGGCCAAGCGATAAGCACTATACGAAGTAGCTGCATTTACCTTGAATGGCCTAAACTATCGCAGAAGTCTGTCTCTCTGTGAGCGGTAGACTAAAGATCAAAAGGAAAACACATAAATCGACACTGAACGGGCTACAGGAGATCGAAAGGTCTAGTCTGAGCAAGGTTTATGAGCGGGACAGCTACTGTCTGCGGGAAATTCGCGGGTTTCGTCTTGGCTACATCATAACGATGTTACTGTGACAACAGCGGCAGCGACACCAAAGAAGATCAGATCTTGGCACGATTTGATGCAAGACTTTTGACAATTTGTTTGTTTTTGTGCAGGTACGAGCGGCATATACCATAGGGAGAGCCGAAACTGTTTGCTTCATTTACGAAGGTCCTTAAAAGGTCGGAAGCGGTGGTGAAATAGGGGGTGTGCTCAATTCGATGTTTGCGATAAGAATTGACCACGTGACTACTACAGGTAGGTCGGCCAGGGCCAAAAAGCATGCAGCACGTGTTGCTATTGGCGATTCAAGCCGGTCATGTTACTTTGAGCAAAAAAATTGTACTGTTAGTGCCTATAGGCTGCTGTTGTTCAACAAAGAAAAATTAACGTGTAGTGCACCATCGTTCATCGTTCTCTGTGCACGCAGAAAACAGGACTGTGTACTGGTTTCTGGTAAAACTGGACAACATTAAAAACAATGGCTCAATGAAGAAAGTTTTTTTACTAGAAATGGACGGAAAAACGTACAATGCCTCAGCTTTTGATTTAAACTTCGCCCAAACAATCTTCGCGATATGAGGTAAATCACCCTTTGTAGTCTTGATAATTATCATGCTAATACTGAAAGTATTTGCACATACAGGAATGTCTTAGTTCATTAGCTGGCGCGGTTGTGTGCGAAAGTTAGCCCGCACATAAAGCTACTACAGGATACAGTCAAAAATTACTTTATGTATATACCCTTTCGAACTTCATCTCTGCCCATTACCTCAGGTGTCTGTAGGCAAATGCCGATCGTACCTTGAGTTCCAAGTCGATTCCGAAATGACGTACCAGCACGCACCTACGAAGATCTAGATGACTCTATTCAGGGTCAGTTCCTTGAGGCTGCAGTTGGTCCATACATACAGACCAAGACGTCAATAGAAAATAGCTTCGATTGCTCTGTTTTTTGAAGGATACGAATAATGAGGACTCTATTATTTTTCTATCACCGCATTTCTCCTAAAATAGCATACTCCGCCCCCTGGACCGAAAGTAAAACGTTAATATATAGTTGTCGTTCACTACTAGCAACAATATTTCTTCTCCACATTGTCATAGTCTCAACGCGCATAATGAAGCTATACGGTGCTAAGGCGCGCTTGTGTCAACGATAACAACAAAATCTCGTTCACCAGCGCTTCGTACTTGAGGTTCTTTCCCCTTCTCAGCTATGTACACACATAATCTTGACGACGATAACAACGTCTCCGTTCACAACGACAGTCAGCGTCGGTTTACTGATGGCTCGTCCGATACCTTGGCAGCAGCAGCAGCAGCAGCAGTCCCGGCTTCATAACAACTCGCCTTCGTTTTCGCTATACGAAAAAGAAAGGATAAGAGATACTCCTTCATTGACTATTCGGTCAGAGCTGATCCAAGAAGGGCCGGGCTAAACAGACACTCCCTTCGCACCGCCAATGAGTATTGTCTTGTGCTCTATCGGATACGAGCCGTGTCGGCAGTATCGTAAAACGGCCATTGTTGCTCTGACTACATAGCTGTCCTGGCTCGGGCGACGAACGACCAGCGCCCTCCTTCTCTTTGCCAATATTGGCACCAGGCCCCAGAAGTGATGGTAACGATGTCAGAGACAGCTGCGATATCAACAGTTTGATTTGCGTCAGAGACGCAGCAGTATCTATGGTATCGAGAGCAAGCGATGGCGAATGTGGCCGTTGTTGACGCCAACGCTAAAGTAAACGTTGGCGCCTCACCGTAGCATTCGACCGACGCCATCGAAAGAGACGACCATAGCCAAATAAAAGCAATTTCTTCTGCCGACGTTGTTGCTTCTCTTCATTTACTTCTATTCGTTGTCCGCTCTTATAGCCGATGGTAATGCCGCTGCCGTTGGCGTTGCCTCGCTGTCCGCTATCGCGATGGCCCGCGTTCACTCAAAACAACGACAGTGTAGATACGTACTCACAATCATATACACGTATACACAGAAGGTGCCAACAAAGCGCTGTCGAATTTAAAACCAGATTCAGCACTGGCCTATCAATTTAGGCAACAGATCCCGAACAGCTATTCGTACTACGCGATAATTGAAACAATATTGAGACGACAATAGTGACTACAGGAATTATTGTCCTTAATAGGCGGAATATTTAAAATGAAGGCAAAAAACACAGCATACACTAGCAGACGACGATGGACGGTTTGAGTCCGGAATTCACGTTCATCAACTGAAGTCAAAATACAAACGTGCAGCATGACACATACACCATCTAACTTGATACATTTCAACTATGTACGAGTCGATTCTTTTGTTGGCGTTCTCGTCTCCTCTGTACCTCACTTCTGCCAACCCCATATCAGCACATACTCATCCATAGCTAATAGACCTAATAAGACGAGTTTTTATACAGTTGTATTTTTCCTTTACGCCTATTATGTGATATTCAGTTTACCCTATAATTCCTCTAGCCCAATCAATAATGACAAAGCCAATCAAGATTTAGAAGCGACACCCGCACTCCGATCGTGATAATCGTCGTTTTTGGGTCTGCGTGAGTCGCACTTTGACAGCATCAACAGCTGATGAGGTTACAGACAAAATTTCAGTAATGCGGATTGCGCTGGCGCTAGTACCGCTCTCGTTGCGACTTCAGTTTTCAGACCTGACAAAGGCTTTTGATTGATTCGTCTTTGCCACCTTAACCACGGCGTTGCTGGTTTACAATTCGGTTTCGTATGAGGGTACTCTATCCGTTTCGTTCTTGTTCTACAAACGTAAAGAGCTTCTACGAACGTAAAAAGAAATGAACTTCCACGCAGGACGCCGCGTCATGCGGCCCAGCTCTTTGACCGCTAATGGCTACCAGTTACCAAGTTGCCATTCAGCTGGGACCGCTATGCTGCTACTGGCTGGCACTATGCTGTCCAATTGTTGGGTTAATATTGATTGAGTGATATTGAAAGCAAGGCGTCCTGGTCCCGGGTGAAACAGTTGCCATGATGATGGCGGCTACTACCGCAAGGCTGTTGCAGTTGCCCTAGCACCTGCACTGGCCTCGTTGTGAAGCCAATTTTGACCATTTCAGTACTTCAACAGGTCGGAACACTGAATAAACACTTTCAGCAGCGCGTCAACATGAACGGATCATGCCGCAACGAAGCGGTAGATGTTACCGCTATTGCTGCGATTAAGCTACGCTTTTCACAAGGACAACAAAACCGAACAGCATTTGAATAAAACTGAATAAATTGAACTAGGGCCGGGGCTGGAGTTGTCAGAAGTGGCTTTTGACTCTTCTATAGCATACATCTATATATTGTGCGCTTATTCCGCATTATTTTGGGACCCATAGTCGGCCGTTCGTGAAGAATAATAATGATAGTAATAATACAAACAATGGACAAAAACAGCCTGTATAGGACGACATAGTACAAACAGTTACAGTAGCTTATTTTGTAAAGAGCTAAACTGTAGTTATTTGTCCTAGCATTATTATAGCGACAAACGCTGGAAGCAAGTCTGAACGGATAGCTATTATAGGCATACAATCACAATGGCTGTACTAACCTTTTCTGTCAGCTTCACACGTTTTTTTTCTTTTTGGGTTTATTTACTGCCTGTTCTTATGGCAATAATTTTTTTCACCGTTATTATAACTATCATTTTGACGATTATTATTATAACTAGAGGTCTAGCTGGCATTATTGGTAATTCTGAATTGTTTTAAAAATTAACGGTTTTTAAAGCTGCGAGCTCACTACATTTCCTTGGGTGTGGCCTTTTTTTACACACATATCTAAAATCAATGCTATTTGTTAAAGACAAATATCGGTTCTACTCTAACTTCGAAAATTTCTTTGTTAGCCACCATTTAGACTAATCCAGATAGAAAATTACGATAAATCGCAAAGGCCAATCGCGGAAAACCATGTTTAGCTGTATGTCGGCCTCGACTTGAGGGCACCGCCAACAACAAGAATGTGGAGACCTATGGCCGTTTGCACGTCTTACCACAGTTTCGTTCCTATTTCTCATTCGTAGTAATGGTTATGTTCCACACTCCGAAAAGCCCGGCCCTTTATGTTCGTTTCCGCCAAACGCTAGCCAGACAGCGGCCCAAGCTGCTCAAGTAATACGCAGTCGGACTGTAGCTGTGCTGTTGGTCCTGACAGGCCTGTACAGTGAAGCCGTAGCTGATAGGAACGTTGGATGTCCTAGTTGAACAGCTAGCGAATCCTTTGGCACGTTGCCAGTAGCGATGTTGGGAAAGTGGTCTGAAGGTTGTGCTTGAGAAACAGTGTCTTGTCAGAGCAGGCGTCCAAGGAAAACAGTGCACAGGGAAAATCTGATGGTTGTCGCAGCGCTGAGTGACCGGTGGAGGAAACTGATGAGCCAATTGTAAGTTTGTCAAGTTTGCTACTGGTTTCTTTCGTTTTAGACCAAACCATAAGTTATCGATACATGTCGTTATCGATATGTTGATAACTTATGTTGATATCGGTATGTTATCGATACTGTTGGTGGGCTTGTGAGAACGAACGTATCTAGACCAGTTTCATGTTCTGATTCGCTTAAAGCCAGGGAATACGGAATGGTCGGAGGCTGGAGCTGTATCCGAAGAACTGTCAAACTGAAACATTTCCCGTTGCCATAGGTTTTACGTGAGAACGACCCCCCAAAAACTGGCAGTGATTCCAATACAAAAATGGCGTGTCTGGATTCGAGTGAGTTCGGTGCTTGAGGCCTTTTATTAACTAAATGAATTATCAAGGAGACGATGAAGCGCTGTACTTCTGTGAAGATTAACTGTTATGACTCGAAACTTAAAAGTTGCCACGATTCTGTCTCTTTCGTGCGAAAGTATTGCGGTACGCGAATTGGTTTGTTGTAAGGGCCTCGTTGCAAAGTTAAGTAGAGAAGGCAGATATCTACGCGAATGGCTAAAATTGCTAACTAGTCTATCAGTGCTAGTATTAGCATTTTCGTCGGTTCCAGCCTCCTGCAGTTATCGTATAGTTATACAGACGTACGACATATGAAAGCCTGTGTCCCCTCTCACATAAATAAATTCGAAATTTCGTGTTGTCTAACGGTTATCGCCAGTGTAGAACGTAGAAGTTGGAACCCAGCAGACATATCTTAGCAATCGACCTAAGCAGCAACATAGGATTACTGATAGAAGCCGTTTGACTGCGTTGCTTAGGGGGAAAAGTAAGCGAACAGAAAGGAGAACACGATTTTTCCTTCTAATTCTTAGCAAATAAACAGTAAACTATTTTTTGCAATACGTTCCAGAACCATTGACACTTCATCCAATAGCAAGATATCATTAAATACCCGTGAGGAGTTAAGGGAAGCGCTCCACAATGGTACGCATTTAACTGGTCGTATTTTTTTAGCCTATTTTCAGGCGAACTATTTGGAATTAAGTTCAGTAGGTCAGTGATACTATTTACCAGGTGAGAGAGTGAATTGACTGTGGATTAAGGCGCCTGCTTAATAACTGTGCCCACATTATATCACAGAGCTGTACGCTGATTACGTTGTTTGTTCAGAAACCTGCGCAGAACGGGTCATATGTGTAGTCTTCACACTGTGTACTGCTTTTATTATGTTAAAAAAAAACAGAAAGCATTACAAATAGTGATCAATTTCTGTCTCAACAGAATCAACACGGAGCTACGCGAGCACCTTCGATATCACCGATGACATCGGTGTTCTGGAGGACTCCGTCTTCGAAACAGGGAATCTTGCACCAGGCATATCGGGGTCCGGTTTGTTTCCGGCTCAGCTGCGCAAAATGGTCCTCAGGACCCTGTTTATAATGGTGGCAGCTTACCTTACTGTCCTTGTGTTAATGGTTGGCGTAGCCATTCTCGTTGACGAAGTCAGATATTATTTAACAACGTATAGGACAATCGCATACCTCTTATTGTATGTCTAAGATTAGGACTACTTTGGCTTTATTATATTGAGTAGTAAAGGGCCGGACAGATAATTATTTTAAGTTAAAATAATAGACCCATCAATATTTCGTAGACGCGCATATCTGGTAGTGGCTAAACAGGTTACACATTATTTGAAATCTGCCATAGCAGTTTAATTTAACAGAAGACTGTTCGAAAAATATAAAATTTTCTTGTTGATAAAGGTTTGCCTATTCCGGATTATGGGACTAGTTGGTCCTATCTACCAAGGTTTTTGTTCTGCTCAATTCCAGTTTGCTCCTGCCTCTTGTTCACTGTATATGGATGCTGCGTTCGCCTGCAAGATCCACTTTCGTATTGCCGCTATTTGTGATTATTTTAGGCTACGTCGAGTCTGTTCTCTCTTGCGTTTACAATACGTACTGTATTTTCATAACAAATGGTGAGCAAAGTTACGTAATCTTCATAAAACGATACGTGTGAACCTTTGTATTCCTTTTTGATATTAAGAAACGCTGTATAAAACCTACGTTAATATCATTGACGTTTTTTTTTGCTACCGTAAGGCTGCTCCGTTCCGCGCCTTCATGCCTAAACTCATTCTGATTTTTTTTTTATTTACCTCCCTTGTCTTCACGCACCCCCCGTGGTCCGGTGTCGCTTACCGTTTGGCAGTCGTCTGTTTGGCGACTTGCACGCAAACTATTCTTCTCTCGTACGGTGGAGTCGAGTTGATTTCGAGAAGGACCCTCGTTTTTATTTTGTTTCTGCATGCCGTCAATATGATCGTCGTGTGTGTTACCATCTGTTCAACAACTTTATGCTCGCAACTAGATCTGGCCGTAGCCGCAGCTGCGGTTGTTGTCCTGCCGGGTGTGATAGCCTTCAAAATTCGCATCATTATCAAGCATTTCTCGCCGAGCAATTATGTCTAAGTTGTGCACATCTAAATAGAGTCCCCTACAAGCATATGTTCATAGTCAGTGTACATATACATTTATTGGGAGATGTAAAATAGGTCTAAACGTCTATTCCGCCCCCTATCGTAACGCGTCAATATGGACTCAATAATGCCGCGGTGGGTCGGAGTCGTAGAAAAAGTAATGACAAGATTTCCACGTTAGGACAAGCTAGAGTTTTGATAACGGCTAGCACTTGAAGAGAGCCAATGTCCGGCGGGTACTACGCACTAGGCGTATCTGAATTTTTCGTGGCCATTCCGGCAAACTATGTACATTGCCATACCTAAGGCACCCAGATAGGAATACGAATGCCAAATATACAATTGACCGCATGTAGTGAGAGCTTGCAGAGCACAGAGAGTACATATTAACTAGATGCTTTACTTTGCTTAGGAGCACGCTAAACTTTTCAAATTCCTTTTCCTCAAAGCCACTTGTTGGTTCACAGCTTCGTCCTCAAACAAGCAAATGCGAGAATACAGGAGTATTCGAACAAGGAAAAATAGTGGGGTGCTGAGGGGTAACTCCCACTTTTATTCGTCATCTACAGTTCATACGGTACTAAAATAACGTAGTCTGATCGCTCTGTAGGTGTATGGTGCCACCTGTCTAAAGGGTATCATAGCGGGAATTATCCTTACGAGCCAATTTCAAGGTAGATTTTTTAGACCTGTTGCTCGTGCATTTCTGGAACTAATGTGTGCAGTGTGCCCGTTGATGAATGGAACTAAAACAAAACATTTCGTAGAATCTATAAAGTATACGTGTGATTTCGCTATTATGAGCACTACAAAGCTTTTGCCTTCTATTAAAGCACCGACGACGTAAAACGATTACCAGCTTCACTAAGAAACTTTTGTGACTAACGATGGCCGTAGACTCAAGTCGTGCCTGCGATACCCCCGAACGACGTAGGCCATTGTTAAAGCAATGAATTTACCTATTCATAAATGAGTCATGCGTTTTAATGGCGACTATACGTTACAAGTAATTCTGCGTATTTACGAAAAAAAAAAAAAATTAATAGATTCATTGTCAGACGGCCCCTAGGAAGGCAACTGTGCAATTACGATACTGTCACATGAAGGCTTACGAAACTGTGACAGTCGTGGATGGAATTAACACGATGAAAAAGATACAATAAAGTGGTTTCTATATTTTATTACCTGTTCTTGTTATTTTACATACAGTGCTTCGTCATAGATTTCATAGGATCAATAACAAGGTTTACTCGCGCTCACCTTTACCCACTGGCAAGTTGGCCCTGTTTATGTAGTACCACAATGGAGGTTTGACCACGATCATAAATAAGATTTAAAAACTGTTTCCAAAATTGCTTTCATCAACCAAACCCAGTAGCACGTACTTAATTTGCACGAAATTTAAGACAAAATCGTTGTATAAATCGAACAGGATTACATTGTATAGAACGTCTGTCAACTGAAATATCTACTGATCGGAGAAACGACTAATTTCTTTGTACCTGTAGACATTGTCGCCGCCTAATAAACATGGTCCTGCTGGTCTCGTTTATGCTGGCCGCAGTTTTGCAACTTGTTCCATGATAGGAAGAATTATGCGACATTGTACAATTTCGGATCCCCATTATGTCTTTATAACAAATGAGATGCCTTTCGTTCCATAGAACAAATCCCTTCGCGAAGGGCTGACGCCACAGGATGACTACCTCAGAGCCGTAAGGCAAGTGCTTATTCGGAGAACACCCACGAACTCCGAACTCTTAAGTAATCGGCCTTTGAGCTCCAACCATGTCTCTGAAACTCTGTCTTTCACGGATATTCCAGACACGGCAACAAATTCTTGATTGTGACAAACGACAGTGACACACCTGTTACCTGGTAAGTTAAATTTTAATTAACTTAATTATTAACGTGCTATTCAAAAAACGAGAATCGAGCCAGCAGGTGAATGACATGTGTTTGCTTATCAGCGCTGATAACTACTGAGCGATGAGGAAGGAACTATCAAATTGATTGCGTGTTTCGTTGAACCCGGTAACGGTAGATTAGGTTCTGCCTAATTTTATATGCCGAAATCATACGAAACACTATAGCAACCTAGAAAAAGCCTTATATAGTACTCTGCAATTTACCTGCCTGTCCTAGGATTTGTTTTGGTCGGAATATTTATTATAGGTATTCCATTTAGTCGACTCGGATCTAGTTGTGGTCACTTAAAGAAATGTTTACATATTGTTTCCAGCTTACCGGTTCGTTAGTGTTCGACATCGTCGTGGGAGCTCATGAACGGATAAACGCAACTGTAATAAACACACTGTTTCCCAAGTACTGCGCTATGCTCTGTCAACTACGGTCGTTCTGTACAAATAGTAATAAAGATGTTTGTAAATTATTCCTCCTCCTTTTCGATTGTGTGTTGATTTCGTTCTGTTCAGTTGAAAAAGCTAAGCATCTACAATATATCCTCATCCTTCCTCGAGGCTGCGTTCTGGTAAGATTTCAGCCTTCGAGCACGGCTGATACGTTCGTCGTCCTAACGATCGATTCATTCGTGCACACCTTTGAAGACAAAAAAAAAAGAAACCATTATACATCGTATCTATGTTCTCTTCGGTAATTGTTTCATGTGCTGTGGGCATCAGTGTGTATAGTAAAGTAGAATTTCGTAGAGTAATAGCTAAGTGCCTGATAAACACTAGGACAGTCACACGGTGTAGTGCGTTTAGGGTGAGAAAGCTTCGTAGCTCTTCTATGCGTAAACAGCGACCGGCCTCTTGGGTTCGGTTATATTCAAAGTTATTGGCCATTTGTCATAGTAGTCACGTATGTTGGAGTTAATAATATGAGAGACTACGCCGTTTTTGCGGTTGTCTTCTAAGAAGTCAAACACGCTTGGTAGATCCGGCAGACGATACAATGCAAGTATATGGAATGATGTAAATCACAAATGAATAGTCTTGTTTCAGTATGCCTTGAGAGATACTATGTCACATCGCAAAGTTTTGCCCACGAAAATGGCACCTTCGTACGGTTCTGTTACGTATCGAGTATGGCGAGGATGTGCTTTCTGTCATCGTGAGTCTGTGCGTTTTTCTTCGTGAGGACAGTTTTATCGCTTAAAAAAGCGCTATCTATTTAGGCAGTTCGCTGACCAGCTTGACATCTTCAATCATATATTTCAATTCATATCAAAGGCCATAAAAACGAGTAGGCCATAAAAAAAGAGCTGTCCCAATTAAGGGTGTGTAAAATCGGACCGAGGCACCGCGAGATCACGTCTATTTTGAGGGTAATTTGACGGCATCGATCTACACGCGCCTCGTCTTGGTCCGTTGTTTTCAAAGATCGTTAACAGTTAGTTGTGGAAGAGGTTTCACACAGGGAAAGAAGGCTTAAGAAATTAACCCTATCGTAACAGCACGAGTCCCTATTAGCATAGCATAGATAAAGGTGCTAAGATAGTTTTGTCAATGAAACGCAGTCGACTAAACGACCCAGACGTACAGAAGCAATGAGCTAGAATCCCAGAGGAATTGAGACAAATTCACTGTAAAACGATAGGTTTATTACAACCGGCATCCATATTAACTGCAAAAAATTAACGGGTTACACTGGGCAGAATACGGGATAACTATCGACGTACACTATAGCTCACATTGGACCGATCATAATAATAACGTTATGAAAAAGTTCAATAAACGGCAAAATTGATTTGGGCCCGGACTTGGAAATCTGTCGTTTTACTACCCAGAATTTTTAAAGTACAGTGAAGAATATACTCACATTATTAGAAAAAAAAAAAAAAAAGTACTAGACAAAGCGAATTGTATATTACGTTTTAGTGACTATTGATGCCAAAATCGTCTCTCTAGCTTTATCGTCTTTTTTTTTTGTTATTATTTTTTCATAATTGACATGTAGTGTTATTACGCTTGGCCGTTTATTCTCTATGTAAAAAACAAAGGGTTTTTTTCGATATCTGAACTAAATCAACCTATTACACGCGCACGTTTTTGTTTTATCTTCGCCCGAAACGCAAGCGTATCCAGCGGAAAGCGCGTCGTAATTCAGCTAACCGGCTGCACGTACGCAAGCTTGCAGGCGTACTCTGCACGTAGCACGGTTTATCGTTAGTTGATGAGTTAGCGCTCTTTTGCTATTATGAAATGACCTCTTCTTGTTGGAGAAGGCTACAAATTTAACAATGCCTTGTTTACAATGACAAAATACTGCAGTATTTGTCCAAGAACCTAGGAATTGGAGACGGATCTAAAGTGGCTATTTTTGCAGGTGAGTGCCGTCGTATACGCGAACATACAAATTCAACATAAACATTGCCGCAATGAAGCTAATAGAGCCGTTTACATCAGCTTCTATAGGGCTGTTATGCCCCATATATTCTCAAAAATATTATTATCAATCAAAATGTAGTTATCTTCCATTCTAACAACGAAGTGTGTCTTTTTATATAAATATATTGTAAATGACTTTTTATATAAGAGACAAGTCGAGATTACAACATTTCCCACAAAAGAGAAACGTAACACAAACAGATAGTGGCTCGAAAAAAGAAGAGAGTGAAGTACAATTTAGCAACTGCTGGCTGATTGTGCTTCACATCCCACGCCTCATGAGATAGGGATCTTCATTTGAGCAAAGCATTGTCTAAACACAAGATGGAGGATAGACAGGATTGTCAGGGAGCACCTGCTACGTATCCAGATGCCTTAGCAATGAATACGGAAAGAACGGCTTCCAATTATATCTAGCTGAAAGAAAAAGCCCTCTTGAGCTGATCGTTGTTTTAGTGCATCGGTCTTTGCGACTGGTACGTAACTCGTAGCCTGTGCGCTATAGATGTATAGTTCATTTAGCGATTTCATCGCTCTGTAAAAGCTGTTCTTACGACTACACGGCCGCTTGATAGGCTCAGTCGAATCTCTAAGCTTTTCCTCTTCGCTGTTTTAGAAGAATGAAGATAATTTTTTTAGTTTTCCGGTTAGTCATACTGGGTGAACACACAACGGACAAATATATGCGGCTACCCTGATTCTATCATGGCTATTGGCTGTACTCAGTCTGCTTATGGATGGTGGCCACGTAACAGCGATGAAGTAACCATAGGCTACAATAAAATTTACCAAATGGCCAACAGCCAGTTTGCACGTGCATACTCGCTAACGACAGAGTATAAGCATAAACTCCCTGTCTGGCTTGAGTATTGACCTCGCGAGCACTTCAAGGGGGAAATTTACTGTGGCTGCAAAATGACAATGGATCGCAAATCACCATTAACTTTCTTAGCAGTTATTTAGATTAGGTTTGGGAGTCGATTGTGATTTTTGTCCTGACTCCGTATAATCCTCATCGTTCAAATAAAAACCTATCGTATTAACAATAATGATAAAGTTCGTTTTTCGTATTTTATTTGCTAATAAATGATTTTTTTGAAAGCTAAAATCATCGCTTTCATGTCGTTGCACGAAGGTTCGAAGCGATGCCAGCTCCTAATAATACGGCTGTCTCTGCTTCTGTTAGCGCACGTTAAGCCATGCTGTTCTCAACGTGCCGTGTCCGCGCTCGATAGTAAGCTTCTACTTGTCTTACACTATAAACCAATTTTGGTTCAATAGGAGTGGAAAACCTGCAGTTAGCAATGCTAAAAGGTAAGAAGCCAAATACGAGCTATTGGTATATCGGCGTCATTAGGTTACCTTCTGCAGACGCCCAGTATAGTTCGCTCTGTGCCCGTCTAGCTAGTCAAAGCAACAGTAATCTACGTTGTACAACATTAACACCGTACGAAATACAGAGTGACCGTCCGTCAGCTCTTCGCCTATGCTCTCGCTTGAGATAAGTTTTTATAAGAGAACTTATTGCTTGCTTACATCGTCCCGTATTAAGCAACGCCTTCCTGCAAGCTTCCGCTCATTCTGAAATTTCGTCTACGAATCAGTTAGTCGTAGCTATAGCAAACCCTTCTCGACATTGTTATGGCTCAGTCATTTTTCTACGAATTATGCATTTTGAAGTTCTATTTATATCTTTATGATATAGAGATATCCGATATAGTTCTCAGCCCAGCCCGTTTCTATTCTGGCAAATAATGATAAGTTTCTGCTTTATCATTCTGGTAAACTTTGTCGTTGTGCATCCTTGCCATACCGGATATCCGAGTGACCAAAACCATCCGAGTGACGACGACTACAGATATAATGACAGTCGTCCATGTCCTACCTACCCCGACAAGCGCCTACCTCAAAAAGATTGTTAAGGCTGCATTGAAAAGTGGAGCAGAGGATCCAAACCGCTATGGAGATCGCTGCAGAATGCAAACGCATTCTCGACCCAATGCCGGATAATTTTATATTTATTTATTTTCGCCTTTGTCAATAGGTACCTAGTATCTAAATAAGATATAAATGCATTTTTTAAATAGAATAGTAATGTTGGAAATAGAATAAATAGAAGATATTGAGACTGCGTTGTTCTTTGTTTGCGTCAAACGCTATTCAAAGACGGCGCCCTGGACATGAGCCCAGGTTGTATCGCCCACAGGGACCTCTGTGTCGGACTAGCATCCAGCGTTCCTCTTCCTCAGTAGTAGATTCGGTGGAAGCCATGCATTGCGTAACGTACTATTACATGTGAGTTCTTTCTAAAGGAATTCCCTCTATGTTTCGCGCACGATGGCGCCGGTGGTAAAGAATTTCGAGCTGGCCCCAGCTACCGGTTTCTTCCGTTGTAGGTAGACGGCGAACGTTTTCGGTAATCGAGTTGCCGTTGTAGATTCACAATAAATAGCAGCGTACCCGCTAGCACATTCATTTAGCGGTGATGACATATTGTATGGAGTCCAAATGCGCTCTTGAGCAAAGCAGACGCCGATCGGTCAAATTTCTATAGGTTAGTCATGTTAAGGCATTCATGGATGAGGCTAAATGGACGCCATATGAGGCTCTTGGTGTGAGCTTTATATTGAAGAGGCATACTGTAGTATCCAGGAAGAGGAACAATGATTTTTTTTATGGTAGCGCTCATTACTAATGTTCTTCTGATGCGTTCGAACTCCGACGCAAGATGAAGTTGGGCCAAGATGGCAAAAATGGCTCACATAGTCCAGAACTGCTAGTGGCCCTGCCTCTCGAAGATTGATGGCTAAAATTATAAAACGAATATATTAAATATCGAACAATACATAGGAATGCTTAAATATATATATGTAAGTGTATTATTGTACAAGTGACACCTTAAAGTCCTAATATTTAAGTAAAAAACAGCTTTCGCTCAGGGTGACGATATGCTCTCACTTCTATCCGTCCTACTTTTTTAAATATATGCGTCTTTGGAGAAGCATATCTTGGCATC